CCCTGGAATCCTCACTGCTTATTGCCTCCCCCAGCAGCTCCTCCTCCATCCCCACGCCAGCCTCCCCCAGCCCGAAATCGGGCCTTCCCACTGTAAGGCCTACGCCCGACACCCGTCCGACCCCTTCCAGCCCCGCCCCCGCGACCGTCAAGTCCTCGCGAGGCACGTCTCCTCGCTCTCCCCCTGATCCCTTGCCATCACCGTCACCCGAGTTCCAAGTCTTTGACCTCTGCGTCGTCGTCAAGAGCCCAGGCCCTCCCCCCGCGGCCGCATCTCCTTCTTCTGCCACCCCGGCTGCCGCAACTCCACACCGCCGTCCGCTCCTTCCTCCGCCTGAAGTCCCTCCCCTTCACCGAGATCAACCTCGACGTTCCCCGATACTAATCTCCATTTTCTCAGCTCGTGATTGCTAAATTGGGCCAAAAACTATAGTAAGCAAGGATTTTTATTATTAATTTCTTGTGCTTTCTTGTGTTTTAATTGTCATCCAGTCATAACAAAGGTATAATTATTTAATGTTTTAGTGAGAAATAATTTACAAATCATATCAAATTATGATAAAAATAGCCTGACTAGTGATATAGCTTATTTTTTTATGTAACTAAACTAGAAACCAATTGAATTATTAGGGGTTAGACCATCTCCAACCCTGCGTCAATTTAAGGCAAAACGCCATTTTGCCGCTCCGATGCCTCTCCAACCCAGCGGCATTTCTCGCGTTATTTTAGCGGTGATGAACAGCGCGACGCCATATTTGGCGTCGCACTGTTCATCACTTCATTACTGTTCATTTATTTTTTTTTATTTTTTTTTTGGTTTAACCTCATACTTTTATGTATTTATAATTTGACCCCAATTGTTTTATTAAATGTATAAAACAATCCCAATAATATTTAAATTTTATAATTTTACCCCAATTGTATAATTTGGACAAAATAAATTATTTTTTAAAATTAAAAATAATGCTAAAATTTAAAAGACATTATTATTAATTATAATATTAAAATCTAGATATTAAGTAAAGTCCCATGAAATATACAGAGCAATCCCAATACATAATTCAAATATAATTTACATATCTGAAATACATAACATATAAAAACTGACACGCATAATATAAAACTTTATTAAAATAAAACATAAAATACAAACTAAACATAGAACATTTCCTGAGATGGACAAGCAACTCTCAATAATCTGGTAGATCGGGGCCAGAGTGTCCAATATCATTGAAATAATTGCCAAAATTAGAAGCAGACCCTTGTTCTTGTTGATTTCTTTTTTGTATTATTTTAATCTGTTGAGCTCGAACGTACTCACGCACGTTTGGATCAGCAATGGAATTCAAATCTTTCATTATAATTTTTCATTCATCTCTATCTTTTTTCATGGCTATCTTTTCTCGTTCGATATCAAACGCTACTTGCCTGTCCAAGCTCGCCTTGTCTAACCTGTCTATAAGTCGATTGTTGGAGGTCTCGATGGAGTCCACTACACTTGACTCATGATCATCATTTTTCCTTTTCAATTTAGCTTTTTTTACCCCAATAGGTCGTTCAGATGGAGTAAATGATGACAGTCCAGGAGATGTTGATATAGGAGATTCCGGAGTGGGATTATCTGATTGTGACGAGTCGAAGTTCACACTTTGGGATTGTCTTCGACCAACTTGTCTTGCTGTGGGGACATCATCTTTGAATTTTTCAAAATTTTTAACCATATTCCAGACATGATCAAATTTGAAACCTTTTTTGTACTTTGGTTCTTGCATAAATAACATCTTTGCTCGAACTAACTGCAAATTATAGTGAACATCAAGTTATGTATTTCAACAATAATAATAAAATTCAGACGATAATTAATAGAATACTTACAATATCTTCATCTGAAGCACCACTTGGATTCAGATTCTCTACTTGTCTCAAGCACGCATTCAATTTCCTTACTTCATTACTTATGATTTCCATTCGAGAACGAATTGATCGGCTCGTACGCATCTCAAAATGCTGATCTCGAAGTTCATTGTATTTGTCCTCCACACGAGACCAAAATGCATCTCGAGACTGGTTTCTACCGATAATAGGGTCTTGAGAAATATCCAAGAATACTTGACAAAGGAGCACATCTTCAGTAACCGTGTATCCAGTTGATCGAACATACATTTTTTTGTAAGAAGCGATTGGTTTGGAGATCAGAAATACTTTGAAGAAATACATCGAATTGGGTGGTTTGAAGTAGAATTCGTGAATGTTATTTATAGCCAATCCAAATTTGTTTTTTTTTGTTTGAATTTGAATTTGTCAGTGGTCAACATTTGAAATTGAATCATTTTGTACAAACTGATCAGCTTTACACATTATCCAACGTTGTCGGTGGGAATCAATTTTTGAAATCAGGTCAGCTTTACACATTGTCCAACGTATACACAGCTCAGCTCTCCTTGAATTGTGTGAAAGCTTTGTACGAGTGGGAATCAATTTTTGAAATCAGGTCAGCTTTACACATTGTCCAACGTATACAGCTAAAAGCAAATTTGAATTTTGTGACAAATTGATAACAGCTAGAAAGCATTTCCTAAAATCAGCTCATACACATTGTCCAACGTATACACAGCTCAGCTCTCCTTGAATTGTGTGAAAGCTTTGTACGAGTGGGAATCAATTTTTAAAATCAGGTCAGCTTTACACATTGTCCAACGTATACAGCTAAAAGCAAATTTGAATTTTGTGACAAATTGATAACAGCTGGAAAGCATTTCCTAAAATCAGCTCAACTTTACACATTGTTCAATGTATACAGCTAAGCAAAGTTTTATAAATAGCATACTAGATTAGGTACATCCACACAATTACTCGTTGTTGTGTTAAAATTATTATTCTCCATTTCTGCATACTTCAGTCATTCTTTTCTTACTTCAAAAATGAATTTCGATGTTGGAGGTCCATCATACTTATCATCATCTTCATCTTCGGATGATGATAATTTTCTGTCCAATATCATTGCAGAGATTGATGAAACCGAAGAAGTAATTTGTGAGTACATCAACAACAACATGATCCTCGTTAACAATTTACGTCAACACAACTACCAACCGATCCATGGTGGCTCGATTCCCGGTCATGCAGTGATCAACCGCGATCGAGAAAATGCGCATCAGAATTTGGTCATTGATTACTTTGCCGATAATCCACGTTTTGGAGAAGATATGTTTCGTCGTCGATATCGGATGTCAAGAAGTTTGTTCCTTCGTATTGTTGATGCAGTGAAAGATCATGACTATTACTTCCAACAACGAAGTGATGGACTTGGTAGAATGGGATTATCACCGTTACAGAAAGTAACAGCTGTTTTTCGCATGTTGGCATACGGTCTACCAGCTGATGCTACGGACGAATACGTTAAAATAGGTGAGTCAACAGCAATTGAAAGTATGACAAAATTTTGTCGTGCTATGGTGGAAATATTCGCAGAGCGGTATCTACGAACACCTAACGCTAACGATATTGCTAGGCTACTCTATATTGGAAAAAAACGTGGTTTTCCAGGAATGTTAGGAAGTCTTGATTGTATGCATTGGAAATGGAAAAATTGTCCAACAGCATGGTCTGGGCAATACACAGGACGTAGTGGGTCACCAACTATTATCCTCGAAGCTGTGGCAGATTATGATCTTTGGATATGGCACGCATATTTTGGTATGCCAGGCACCAATAATGATATCAATGTGCTGGAGTCATCTAATCTTTTCTCTAACCTAGCTCAAGGTATTGCTCCTCCCGCTCACTATGTTATTCAAGGAAAAGAGTATAATATGGGTTATTATTTAGCTGATGGTATATATCCGAAATGGGCTACTATTGTACAAACAATCCAACAGCCACAAGGTAGGAAGAAAAAATATTTTGCCATGAAACAGGAAGCATGTAGAAAAGATGTAGAACGTGCGTTCGGAGTTCTCCAATCACGATTTGCAATCGTGGCAGGATCAGCACGTTTTTGGAAAAAACATGTATTACATGACATAATGACTGCATGCATTATTATGCACAATATGATAATCGAGGATGAACGTGATCTTTATGCACCAATTCAAGAAGTGAGGGAAGCACCAACACCAGAAGTTGATATGGTAGCAGATGAAACTACAAGATTTACTCAATTTATTGCACGTTACGGAAAAATCAAGGATAAAGATGCCCATATTGCGCTTCGTAATGCATTGATAGATCATCTATGGGAGGAATACACTAATTCAGATAGTTAAGTGCATACTAAATTTGTAATTTTTATATTGTTGTTAATGTTTAATTATTTTCTTGTATTTTATCTTCTGTTGTATTCTTAAATGTAATATTTTGGCAATATTAATAATAAAAATATAATATTTTATTGTTTTATTAGTTTAATTTTTTAAATAATAAATCATTTTGTTTGGAAAATATGTGAAAAAATAAAATTTGATATGTGAGGTTAATTGTTGAAATAGTTAAAAATATAGGGAATAAAAAATAATCATATAAAAGTAGATAAAAAGAAAGATACTGAGAATATTCCTTTTTGGTGCAAAAAATGGTGCAATGGGTTGGAGATGAATTACTGTTAGATGTGACTTTTGCACCATTTTGGTGCAAAAATTGCACCATTTTGAGGCAAAGGGTTGGAGATGCCCTTAGGGCATCTCCAACCCAGCCCCATTTTGGTTCAAACAGTGCTTTTTGTTGCACTGTTCCTTCTCCAATCCAGCCCCATTTTCTGCTCCATTTTGGTGCAAATGAATAGTGCTGCATCAAATATGGCGTCGCACTGTTCATCTGCCCCATTACTGTTCACTTTTTTAATTTTTTTTTAAATATTTGTTTTTACCTCTCAATTAATATAAAAATAGATAAAAGGAAATAAAGTGAGAATATACTGAGAATATTCTTTTTTGGTGTAAAAAATGGTGCAATGGGTTGGAGATGTATAGAATATACTGAGAATATTCTTTTTTGGTGTAAAAAATGGTGCAATGGGTTGGAGATGTATTACTGTTTGATGTGACTTTTGCACCATTTTGGTTGGAGATGTATTACTGTTTGATGTGACTTTTGCACCATTTTGATGCAAAATTTACACCATTTTGGTGCAATGGGTTGGAGATGGTCTTAGGTCCAAATTCCGTGCATAGTATCAAGTACAATGATTAAATATGTAAAATATTGATAGGATAAGGACATCTCAGAGTTGACAACAGGACTTAGGATGACATAGCTTTCAATTGTGTAGTTTTTCATGTTGGTATACAAATGATTATGGTTAACTTGCAGTCTAGTCAATGAGACCTGAGTTACCTGATTAGTTTTATTTGTAAACCTAAGGACGAGATAAAATGTAAGTGTGAACATAATTGTCTGTATTTATACATGTCTGTGATGTTGTTTATATTTGCTATGTTTAGGAACGAAATTATTTGATGAATTAATAACCTATGCTCATCCTTTTGTTTAAGCCATGAAGATAATATTATAAATTGCAACTCATTAAGGTGTCTCTAACCGGTTGTCAAGCAGTAAAACATTTTCAAGTTTTAGCGATGATTTGTATGAATTTGTTCCACTTGAAATATCACATCTATGTGGTTCTAGGCAGAGTAACTTGTGCTTGTTTCTTTGATGAATTCTGTACTCTACTATAATACATTTTTCGGCACCAAAAACTTGATTCTCAAACATATAAATGATATATTTTGTCTTAATTTCATATCCACTTCTCTCATCATATTCTATTAGTGCTCTTTTATTGATTATCACTGAATACCCATGAAACTGATGGGAAATGTTGGAGAAATAGGAAACACAAAGTTTTATCATCTATTCAATGACTATACAACTATCAGTGCTATGTTCAGAATGAGTGGGCTGAAATGAGAAATTTAAGATGAATGAAATTCTTGATATTACTTTTCTCATAACTGGATGAAGCCTTTAGCTTTCCAAATAGTTCTGCAATAATATATTCTTCATAGACAGTTCCTTTGTCCCCCCTCCCTCCCTTGTGATTGCAGCTGCCCCTACTCAAGTTGCCTTTGAACATGGAAGCTCATCACTCACTAGGTCGTTTGTCAATCCTAGAAGTTCAGTTACAACGTTGAATATTTCTAAAAGTGAAGTTGCTGAAAACATTCATGAAGGTCAATCCTAGAAGTTCAGTTACAACGTTGAATATTTCTAAAAGTGAAGTTGCTGAAAACATTCATGAAGGTACACCTTTGATTTCTTATCCTTCGTCTCTGTATTTCTAAAAGTGAAGTTGCTGAAAACATTCATGAAGGTACACCTTTGATTTCTTATCCTTCGTCTCTAACATTTTCTTTGATTTCTTACCCTTCCTAACATGCTAATATAACTTTAGGGGGTGATAGCATATGGATTAAAGGCATCGTATGTTTTGCACTTCTGTCCAGTTTTATCCTCTGCTCCCGCACTTAATAAAGAAAATTTTCTTTGGACGTCACCATTATTACTTGATCTAGTAATAGAATGAATCATTTCTTTCTTATGGTGGATGATAGTATTATCTTGTGTCTTTGTGAAACAGTGGGTGCCAGAACTCTGTCGCGTTGCCCCATATGTTCCAATTGTTCTTGTTGGAACTAAGCTAGGTGTATTACCGGTTCAAGCTTCACTGTTTAATTATTAAGGATTCAGCTTGATTATGGCTTTCAAGCATAAGCTATATCTTGAATTTTTAGTGACAATGTTTAATGTTTCAGGTCTTCGTGATGACAAGGGCTACCTCTCTATCCATCCAGGTGCTTCTGTTATTACACCTGCACAAGTGAGTGTTTTATTGTAGTCTAAGAAACAAAACCATTTTTAATATATTTTTTCACTTGCGAACATTATTTAGAACTTTGTATATCTATTTACATTCTTCTAGAGCAAGGAACTTAGGAAGAAAATTGGCGCCACAGCTTATATTGAATGTAGCTCTAAGACACAACAGGTGCATGATTTAGATATGAAATGCATGTTTTCTTTTATTTTCTTTTCTTTCAAATGACTACATCCCCTGGTAAATAAGTCATAGTCTGTGCTGTTTATAAAGATTTGTATTGAGATGGAAGCTTGAACACCTCTTTTTGTCTCTCTTTTATTGAATAGAATGTCAAAGCAGTTTTTTATACTGCCATCAAAGGTAGTACTATGACCTCCTCGAAGGAAGGAAGTGCTGCCCAAGAAGAAAGCTAGAAGAAGCTTTGGTTGCTCGATGATGTAAGTAGCCAAAACATTGTTACCTTGAACATGCATATATCTTTGAATGTGTTATCAAATTGGTAGTGAATTTATTGTTGATGTAAAGTCTTAGGGAATACCTTTACATTTATATCTCTACATGTTCTTTTTCCAAAATACTAGTGCCACTTTTGTTGCTAGTAAATAAAATAGTACAACCGTTTTGAGTAAATAAAATAGTACAACCGTTTTGAGCACAAATCCTCTGATGTTCCTTTACCAGTTACCCACAGCTCTTCCATTGCCCCAACCATTGCTGCTCTTTTCTTGGTTCTCTTCTATCTTTCTTTTATGGGTTGCTGCTCTCTTCTTGGTTCTTTCCTATTTTTCTTTTTTCCTTTTTTGTTTTTGGGTTTAGACAGACCCTGAATGCTGCAGGCTACTACACTAAAATTTTCATGTTTTAAATTTCTAGTTTAAAACATGAATCATTTAGTGATTTACTCGTTGAGGAGACCCGTATTATTGTTTGCTGATGGATGCTATGGTAAACCAAATCATTTTTTAGATTTATTCATGCTTTAAAAGTGTTTGCTTCTGCTGGCTGCTATAGTAAACCGAATTTTAATTTGTAGAGGCTTAAATGTTCCATTTTTCTCTTTCTAAATCTCCATTGTTTGTGTGGCAGAATGAAGGTTGTGAGGTTATGGATGGTGAAGGGGAGAATATTTTGGATAGAATCAATTGAAAGGAGACAAAGCATTGGGAGAGACTTAATGAAGGAAGAACCCATCTTGATAATTAATGGGCCCGCCATAATCTTTATCATTCAAATTTTAATTATTTATGGTTTATTGCTTCACTATCATAAGTCTTTGAATAGGTTTTTATTTGTTAGATTTGTATTTCAGTTAAGAATTGTAGGATGTGGAGAAGTTGTGAACCTTATAAATTGTCTAAACTTAAAGTTTTATAGTTGATTATCACTTCATTAAATTTATTGACAAAGCTTGTATCGAGCACACATCAATTTTTAATTGATTAAGTTCACTTTTTTATTTATGATGGTAATTATCTGTTTCATTTGAATGATATTATGTATTGAAATAAATGATTAGAAATATATGAATATCATTGCTACAGTTGGATGTGAGAATAAATAGTAATATTTTGGTGAAAATATCTTTTTAATACCCTACAACAATGGTTTTATTTTTTAAAAAATAAATATTAAATTTTATAGTAACGGTTGTATTTTGTTGTTAATAGACTATAGTAATGGTTAGGATTTGCTGACGTAGATTTTTTATTATTTTATAAAAATTAATCTAATAGTAACAGTTATTATATTTACAACGGGTTTAGATCGTTACAATAAGCTAATTATAATGACTTTAATAGTAACGGATTATACGCAACGATTTTAACCGTTGTTAATGTATTAGAAACGGTCTATATCATTACTAAGAGATCTATAAACAACGGTTGGAACCATTGCTATAAGAGGGTTTTGTACTAGTGTTAACACAGAAAAGAAGAAATAAGAGAACCCATCCTACAGGGACTGCAGCCTGTCCATTTCCAGTTCCGAACGTCTCAGGCGAGATCGTGATTCGGGGCCTTCGAAGCGATGAACTTGAACAACTCCAGCGGATAAGTCGATCGACTCTCCGCATATTTATCGGCCTGCTTACGAAAGAAATCAGCCATTGATTCTTTCACTCAATCTCTCTCGCATTAAACTCTCATCTTTTTATATATGTACACATTGAGCTAGCTCTCACTTTAGTAAACGAAGAGTTGCATGGAATCTTTCTTTGTCTCTTCATTTTTAGGAAAAGAGAGACGTGGGGAAGAAAGGGGTGATAGGTTTTATCTAATCCCCTGATGCGATTTGAAAATAGAGATGAGAGAGAAGAGAGAGAAAAAAAATCACATAAAACACACAAGATTTACGTGGTTCACTTCTCGATGGGAGAAGCTACGTCCACGGTCGCCGCAGGAGAAAATTTCACTATATTCATCCATCTTACAAGTTGTCCTAATCTCTTATTTAATAACACAAGGGTTAATACAAACAGGATTCTAAAATAGTTCATCAAAAAATGAGCCCATGCCCAAAAAAACCCGACTCATGGTCAACCGTAGATATAGCCGCGGTCGACCGTAAAAAATCCTAAGACCAAATCTGATTATAGGGTTTGGCGCATTCGACCACACATGATGTCGCGGTCGACCGAAAAAAGTCCAAAGACTTTTTGTGGATCTGTGCACATTCGCGGTCGACCGTCGCGCCACTCACGGTCGACCGTGAAACCTCCAAGCTGATTCCTTCGCCGTTTTACCTGACCTTCACCGTCGTCGTTCCTGTCCCTCCAATTTCTCATGTTTCCTCTTCGAAAATAAGGTATAGGACAAGTCGAATAGTTAGGCTCCACATATCCTAACAATATCCCACTTGGAGACTAACTTTCAATCTCCATCACCTCCCCTTACGACGATAGCCTCCTATATCATCAAGTAATGAGGCCAACTGAAGTTGAACACAACTTCAGTTTCTCTGTAGTGACAGTCTTCATAAGCATATCAGTTAGGTTCTTGCTTCCTTGAATATTCACAAGCTCCAACATGTCATCATCCAATACTAACCTTATGAAGTGATAACAAACCTGTATGTGTTTGGTCCTGGCATGAAAAGCTGGGTTCTTTGTCAAATGAATGGCACTTTGGCTATCATAGTGTAAAACACTCTTCTCACTTTTCTGTCCCAACTCCTCTAAGAATCCCTACAACCATATGAGCTCTTTGATATCCTCTGTCACAGTAACATATTCTTCCTCTGTAGTCGACAAAGCAACGATCTTCTACAACTGAAAAACCTAACTGATGGCTGTAGAATCCAAAGTGAACACATATCCCAAAGTGCTCCTTCTCTGATCTATCTCACCCGTATAGTCTGCATCAACAAAACCCTGCAGAACCAATTTGCCTCTCTTAAAGCATAAATAATTTTCTATTGTACCTTGCACGTATCTTAGAATCCACTTTACTGTTTCCCAGTGCTACTCTCCTGAATCTGACATGAATCTGCTCACAGCTCCCACTGCATGGGCAATGTCAGGTCTCGTGCACACAATTGCGTACATAAGACTTCCAATGGCTGACGATTATAGAACCTTCATCATGTAATTTTTCTCTTCACCAGTTACTAGACATTGCTCCTTAGTCAACCTGAAATAACTAGCTAAAGGTGTGCTAACAGCCTTAGCACCACTCATTCTAAACCTCTCAAGCACCCGCCTAATGTAATCGGCCTGAGATAACCATAATGTGCCCAAGAGCTTGTCTCTGCTAATCTTCATCCCTAATATCTGCTTTGTTGCGCCTAAGTCCTTCATGTCTAACTTACTCGACAAGTACTTCTTCAGCTTCTTGATCTCACCCAAGTCTGAACCGGCCAATAGCATGTCGTCGACATATAGTAGCAAGATAATGTAGCTGGTGTCAAGCTTCTTGAAGAAACATCAATGATCTGCATTGCACCTGGAGTATCTATTCCTATGCATGAATCCATCAAACTTTTTGTAACATTATCTTGGAGCTTGTTTCAGACCATACAAGCTCTTTTTTAATCTGCAGACCATCCGTTCTTTTGTTTTCTAAGTGAACTCTTCTGGCTGCTGCATGTATATTTCTTCCTCTAGGTCATCATGGAGGAAGGTTGTATTCACATCTAACTACTCGATATTAGATCTTCAGTTGCAATAATACTCAGAACCGATCTGATGGTAGTCAGTTTGACTATAGGAGAGAAGATTTCTGTGTAGTCAACTACTTCTTTCTGCTGAAATCCTTTGACCACCAACCTTGCCTTGTATCTCTTGGAACCATCATGTTCCTCCTTGATTTTATATACCCGTTTGTTACTCAAAGCTTTCTTTCCCACTGACAACTTTGCAAGTTCTCAAGTCTTGTTAGAGTTCAGGGACTTTATCTCATCTTTCATAGCAAGCTCCCACTTGCTTGCATCATCCACTCGACACGCTTCATCATAGCTTTCTGGCTCTCCACCATCACTTAATAATAAGTAGTTCAAATGAGCTCTGGGCTGTAGTGATGGATACTTCGTATTTGGCTTTGGAACTCTTGCTGACCGCCTCAACTCTCTAACGGGTGAACCAACCTCTGCATCTACCTCCTCTGAAGTAGTTTCCTCCATCATCTTTTCTTCAGTCTCTTCTCCTACGTCCACATCAGAACTAGCTTCAAAGTTGCTTCTTTCTGGAACATCATCTGGCTCAAAATATGTAGGCTCTGACTGCACTGAGCTTGAGGACTTAACAACATCACGGTCTTTGTATAGGGCTACTTCATTGAATATAACGTCCCTGCTTCTGATGACTTTCTTGATCTGTTCATCCCAGAACTTATAGTCAAACTCATCACCACCATAGCCAATAAAATAGCATTTCAAAGATTTAGCGTCAAGTTTGTTTCTAGCATGATCACTAAAATGAACATATGAAACACAACCAAAAACTTTTAGGTGAGAAAGGTTTACCTTCTTCCCACTCCATACTTCTTTAGGTATTTTATGCTCCAAAGGCACGATGGTCCCTGGTTGATTAGGTAGGTAGTTGTGTTGACTGCTTCTGCTCAGAATTGCTTTGGAAGTCATGCTTGAAGTCGCATGCTTTTAGCTCTTTTAGTCAATGTTGTGTTCATTCGTTCTGCTATGCTGTTTTGCTGAGGTGTACTTGGCACTGTTCTCTCCAATCTGATGCCACTCTCATAGCAAAATTTCTTGAACTCTGAATCTTCATATTCACCTCCATTATCTGATCGCAATTTCTTGACCTTCAACCCTGTTTTGTTTTCTACTATAGCCTTCCATCTCTTGAAGACTTCAAACACTTCTGATTTGTGTTTCATGAAATAGACTCAAGTCTTCCTCGAGTGATTATCTATGAAAGTCACAAAGTATAACCTTCCACCAGTGGACTGTACTGATGTTGGACCCCACACATCTGTGTGAACTAGCTAAAGCTTCTCTTCCTTCGGTGTTCTGCCAACTCTTTTAAAACTTATTCTCTTTTGTTTCCCGAAGATGCAACTTTCACATAAGTCAAAATCAGCTGACCTCAAACCTGGTAACTTTCCATTCGACTGCATAACCTTCAGGCCTTTGCTACTCATGTGGCCAAGCCTCTAGTGCCACAAATTTGGATCTTCTTTACTTTCAACCACTATAATGGATCCACATGTATTTGTCGTTATGTAGAGAGATCCACTCTTCATACCACGGGCAACAATCATAGACCCCTTGGTAACCTTCCATGTATCACATGTGAAGGTTGATGTATATCCCTCCTTTGCCAACTGTCCTATGGAAATCAGATTCTTCCTTAAGCTAGGAACATGTCTCACATCATTCAGCTTCCATATAGACCCTTTGAGTTCAATTTGCACCGCTCCTTTTCCAACTATATCACACAGTTGATCATCACCAAGATAGACTTTTTCTAAGTTTCTTGAAACATAGTTCTCAAATAAATCTCTATTTGATGTAGCATGAAATGAAGCTCCTGAATCCAGCACCCATGATTCTGTCTTGCTCTCCAACGAGCAAATAAGGGCATCATCTGATTCTCCTGAGATGACGTTCGCTTCAGTCTTGTTC